AACGGTGTGACAACCAATGAAAAATTCATCAAAATTGAGATCGGGGTGGTTATAGGTCGGGCTTAATCTTTGGCTTTCTTTTTTACTTAATACATATAGTTTTCTTTAACAAGACGATTACTTAAAACAAATAAGGATTTTACAATTAAGCTCTGTCTTCCGGTTCACGACGAATTAAAAAATCATCACGATTGAGATAGGGCGGGTGGGCGGGCTTACATTTTGCCGTACGAAATTGTTGATCATTCTTAGAGAACCTTAGAAAATTCCCAAACGACATTCTTTTGCTGATTTTGATTTCCAGAAGTTTTTTGGAATTAAATTTTTGGTAAAATTTATCAATTCTGACCATTTTGCGACTTATTTCGAGCACTGTCTTTTCTAGAAGAAGAGACGATTGACGATAGTTTCTACCGTTCGGTGGTCACAACTTCGACGAATTCGTACAACAACCACAGAAATTTAACTTTAACGTTTGGAAATACAAAGAAAATTAATCTAACGTTATTTAGACAGAACTTCCCTCATATGTGAAGTTGATAGATATTTTAAATAGGATTCACTTTTAGCATATTTTTAGACAACGTCATCTTTGGGGGTACTAATTGTTAGGTGTTTTTTTTGTGATTTTTTTCTATTTTTTGTATCAGTAGAAATAAACATGTTGATAATTTCTGCAATTAGTTTTTACTTCCCGAGCGTAAGCAAAGGAAGTATTGTAATCGAGTCCGTCGGCCGACTCTCTACTTTTACGTTTTCTCGATCTTTCATGACCCCTAGAAGACGAAGAAATAGGTCTCCCATTTCCGTCTGTCTGTCCGTCTGTCCGTCCGTCTGTCCGTCTGTTGTCCCGGATTTTTATTAGACAGATAATCTCCGAAAGTACTCGACCGATTGTTGTGAAATTTTGTACTTATATTAAGAATATCATGTAGATGGTAAAACGCTAACCAAAATTTGTCTAATCATCCCCACCACTAATGCGATGACGTCACTTCAAAATTGTACATAGTAAATGGGTTTTCAATTGTATAAAATAACATAGTCCTACACATGTAGTTTACAACTCTGAATCGACTTTTCACCCGAAACGTCCAGATTTTTGGAAAAAAAATCAAAATTATAAAACAACATTTTGAAATTTAATTTTTAATCTGCTAACCAGAATGCTTTGAAATGTTGCAGACGTTTTAAGGCTATAAAGAGCATCATAAATCTTTCGTCAAAAAATATTTGCTTATCCCCTCCAAAAACTTGATGACGTCAGCTCAAAAGTTTGTGGAATAAATCATATCTAAAATGTACAAAATATGATGAGTCTGTACTTGTGATCTATCACTCCATTCATATTTTTTGGATTTGCATATACAGGGTGACTCAAAAAAATTAATGAATGCGTAAATATATTTTATTGATTTAATCAGGAACTACAAAACCGAATGCTCTGAAATCTTGCAGATGTTTTAAGGTCATAAAGAGCATAATAAATGTTTAGTCAAAATATATTTGCTTATCCCCTCCAAAAACTTGATGACGTCAGCTCGAAAGTTTGCCGAATAAATCATATCTAAAATGTACAAAATATGATGAGCCTGTACTTGTCATTTATCACTCCATTCATATTTTTTGGATTTGCATATACAGAGTGACTCAAAAAAATTAATGAATGCGTAAATATATTTTATTGATTTAATCAGGAACTACAAAACGGAATGCTCTGACATCTTGCACATGTTTTAAGGTTATAAAGAGCATAATAAATGTTTAGTCAAAATATATTTGCTTATCCCCTCCAAAAACTTGATGACGTCAGCTCGAAAATTTGCTGAATAAATCATATCTAAAATGTACAAAATATGATCAGTCTGTACTTGTGATCTATCACTCCATTCATATTTTTTGGATTTGCATATACAGGGTGATTCAAGAAAATAAATGAAAGCGTAAATTTATTTTACTGATTTACTCAGAAACTACAAAACCGAATGCTTCGAAATATTGAAGATATTTTAAAATTATCATAAGCATGGTAAATTTTTGATCAAAACGTAATTGGTCGTCCCCCCTAAAAAATTTATGACGTCACCACAAAATTTTGCTGAATAAATCCTATCTAAAATGTACAAAATATGGTGAGTCTCTTCTTGTGATTTATCATTCCATTCAAATTTTTTCGATTTGCATATACAGGGTGACTCAAAAAAATTAATGAATGCGTAAATTTATTTTATTGATTTAATCAGGAACTACAAAACCGAATGCTTTGAAATCTTGCAGATGTTTTAAGGTTATAAAGAGCATAATAAATTTTTAGTCAAAATATATTTGGTTATCTTCTACAAAAAACTGATGACGTCAGCTCAAAAGTTTGCCGAATAAATCGTATCTAAAATGTACACAATATGATGAGTCTGTACTTGTGATTTATCATTCCATTCATATTTTTGGATTTGCATATGCAGGGTGACTCAAAAAAATTAATGAAGGCTTATCGATTTAATCAGGAATTACAAAACCGAATGCTTTGAAATCTTAGGAATATTTTAAAGTTATTATAAGCATGGTAAACTTTTGTTCAAAATGTATTTGTTCATCCCTCCTAAAAAAATTGATGACGTCACCCTTAAATTTTGCTGAATAAATCCTATCTAAAATGCAAAAAATATGATGAGTTTGTACTTGTGATTTATCATTCCATTCATATTTTTTAGATTTTCTTAAGAGGTGGTTCAAAAAAATTTTTGAAGTCAATTTATTTTATTGATTAAATTAAAGGCAACACTTATTACTAGTATTACACCCCAACCAACCCAATTTGGTAGACACAAAATTTGTTAAAGGAAAAACTCGGTTGAAACATAAGGGTAGCACGCTTATTTACATCGACTTTAACATTACAGACCTGCATATGTTTTATGCGCTCACTTGGTTCCGCGAATGTGAAATAGACATGTTTATAATCAACCAATTGTGAATTTCACCGTCAAGAATTAAAATAAAACCCAATGTTTTATATAATAAGCGGAAGTCGAAGCAATAAAACCGATGGTCGTTTTGTTTACAGTTTCTCTGTTTGACTCTCACGTATGCTGTTACGCCTGTCATCTTAAATTAAGAATGTTTATACATACACGATTTTCAGTTGCCTCTGATACGTATACGTGAGTAAATTGTTTCGTTATTTTATTGATTATTACAAATCAATATTCAAAACGACCCAATTCATTTTCCCGAAAATTTGAGAATATAATAATTTTATTCTTAGTATTACACTACATCTATCCCAACTGATATACGTGTCCTTGCAAAAATGTTGATGACGTCATCGCAATTTTTTTTTAAATTCCCACTACAAAAATGTAATGAGAAAAAAAACACAATAGGCATGCAGTCGTCAAGTTTCCGACAGCGAGGGAAGTACTGTCTAAACTCTTTAGACCAATTTTTTATTTTGCATCAGAAAATGTCAAAAAAATCTGGGTGTTCCATTAAAAGTAGGCAGCCTTTTGTCAAACCGAAAGCGATAAAAAAAGAAAAAATATTGTAATCAGGTCGCCATGTTTAACCATATATCCACATCAAATTTACAAAAAAAGCTTATTCGAGTTATTCAATCGTTCGGGGACTTTGTCTAACCCTGTATATAAAACATATTTTTCAAAAATGACGATATTTTCCAAATTTTCAAAAATATTCTGTATCTGAAATTTTGAAAATATAAACGCTTCGGGGTCAAAGATACAGTGAACTCTTCAAAGTCAACATTGAGCGGATTGAGCCACATTTTAACAAGTTAGTTGAACGTGTTTCCTCAATATCCCAAAAGAATCGTTTACATTACGACCATTAAAAAAAGATCTTTTGAAAATTTTGTTCAATAAAATGAAAGAATTAAATTGTGTTTAGAAATTTCAGGTCACAACCAGGGACGATGTGAAATTTTGATAAACCAAAAAATTCATTTAGATTTTTCCAAAACGATGCATTTTCAAAATTTTCAAAAAACACTTTGCTAAAAATTCAGAATCAGTGTTCAGGTAAAAGTTGTAGAAGCAAGTGATAAAAGGAATACACAATTTTTTTAACTGTTAAAATAAGTAAATTTCTCATACGTAGATTTTTGTAATACATAATATAATAAATATCTGCACTTGAAAGTGAAGATTTGAGTTATTCGCAAAAGACAATGTTTTTTTCTTCTGAAACTCTTTTCAAATAATACTCCACGCAACAATAATAATACATAATCCAGAAGTAAGAAAAAACTCATTAATTCATCGAAGGTTATCGAACATTATTTAGTTGCTGCAAGAAAATATTAATGGACTGATAAACCACAAATATAGACTCATCATATTTTGCATATTTTACGAGACGGATAAATTTTGATTAATGATTTACTATGCTTACTATTACATTAAAATATTTTGAAGATTTCAGAGCATTATTCAGTTATGCCGGTTCAAAAATTAAATTGTAAAATGTTACAGAATTTTGATTTTTTTCCAAATGATGGATGTCTAGGGTAAAGTCAAACGGATTAATAACCCACAAGTGTATGATTATGTTATTTTATAAAATTTAAATAACATTTACAATGTACATGTGAAAATTGACACATACAGCAGAAAAAGAGGCACACGGAAACAAGAAATCTATTTTTTGGTCTCTAGAGGTCATGAAACGTCAAGAAAACATGAAATCTAGTAATTCGGCCGATGAACCCCTTTATAATACTTTTTTAGCTTAGGCTAGCTTCCCGAAAAAGAGTCAGTTGACGATAGTTTTTACATTCCGGTGGTTTTAGCTTCAAGAAATTCGTTCAAAAGGTGAAAAATGTAACTTCGAACAATTTCTCTCATTCTCTCTGACGATTCCTCCAACCTACGTGCTCAGGAAACGTCCACATTAGAGCAATAAATGATTTTTTTTGGTGAAATTTAACAATTCTGGACTATAGAAAAAATCTAAATTTCATTCATTTGGAAGTCGGTACTCACCGGATTGTTGATGCTGAAGCACAGCAAGACGACGTCCGAGCGTCCGTAGGCGAATCTCCGGTCCTTCTCGTGGTCGCCGAAGGTGTCCCATAGCCGCAAGGAGACGTTGACGCTGTCGACGACTTCCCAGGAACGCTCTAAGACGTCTTTGTAGATGCGATACTGGTCGATGGCCCATACCGTCGGGACGTGGGTAGCCAGTAGCTGGGCCAAAGAGACTTGCTTGTTGCAAGCCCGGGCGCATATCAGACGGGTCTTGCCGACGGCAGTGTCGCCAACCACCACGCACTTGACGAGTTCCTGGTGGGGTTGTTCATTATCCATCCCCGGCGAACGCTACGGCGACGATGGCCATCACAACACGGCCCCCTGAACACACGAAAACACAATTGAGTGAGCTAAATTCTGCGTGCGTCTTGTTTATCGTATCAGAAAATTTGTGACGGGAGGGTCTTTAACATTCGCTAATAAACATGGTAGTTGAGTTGAAGAATAGGATTAACAAATTTAAATACAAAGAAGGCTATAAATAGCGTGGATGAGTGATGGCGCGTTATTTCATGTTTTTATTGTATTGCGTTTATCTGTGGAAGGACTATGATTTACTATGTAAGCAATTTCGCTTATCTAAGAATTAAAGCAAGTATTTTTAAAGTGGTTATGTGGACACGGTGTATTTGGGTAAAGGAACGGCGATGATGTTTTGAGTGCTCAAAAAATTAGCGCGAGCCGGTGATAATGGATGTCGTGCGGTCTGTTTTGCTGGGTTGTTTACGACAGTTTTTGATAAAAATTCTGGAATATTTACACAATGACGACAAAGACAATTTGATGGAAAATTTTCAATAAACAAAATATTGTCGTTTTAAAAATGCATTACCTAACTTTAAATAATTCTCACTACGCATAAAATTGGATTTTTTATTTTTGACAATCCAATTCGAAAATTCTTAACCAATACAATGGCAGAATTATTTGAAATTTGTCCAATGGCATTCACCGAAAAATTTTTTCAGTGAAAAAACATTCTTCTGTCAGGCAACAACACTGTTTTTCAGCGAAATAAATTATGTCAAATTAATTTGTCAAACTTGTCAAATGAACTTTAATAAAAAAATGATAATACAAATTACTTTTCTGTTGGCGTTAAAGACATAATCTTCCAAAATACTGCCCACCTCGTTCATTTCGACTGCTTTATTTAGAGAAAACTTGCGTATTTCACAAAATTCTGTAAACTGCTTCCAAATTGAATCTTGCGTTCTTGCAGTGTTTCGGCACTGACTTTCTTTCACTGCATTTCGAATTTCAAACACAGTCTTGTTACCAAATCTTGCTCCCATAATTAAGAAAATCAACCAGCAGCACACACAAAATTTGATGTTTAGAAATTTATTTACGTTTTGTCTTGTTGTTTTGTTACTATTTAGACTGGGTAGGTATGGTTACTCAACTACTATGCTAACTATAAATTATGTGAATTATTGTCCGTAAAAAGTAAATAAAAATTTTCTCTTTGGATTGTCAAGCCGAATATAACTCGTGATCTGATTTTTTCTGCAAAATTTGTGTGAAAATTAACTCGTAGCTGTTGCTTTTGGAAAATCACACTCGTCTCCTTCGTCGACTCGTGTGATTTTCGTCGCAACAGCTACTCGGTAATTTGTGTCACAAATTTTGTCGGAAAAAATCAGACCACTTGTTATATTATATTTGATAAACTTGACATTTCCCTAAATTATTTCGTTTCCCTCTTTATTCTCGGATTTAAAATTTGATAATTTTAATTTTTTGAAAAGTTCGGTTTAAAAGTAGTCTGCGTGGACAAATGGCTATTTTCTTTCATATTTTCTCGATTTTATTAGAGAGGTAGTCTCTGAGACTGTTGGATTGATTCTCATCGAAATTGGATGACATATTTTAGAATTTTGCTAAGTACCTATTTAAAATATATATGATATACAACATATGCATAATTCTGCACTTGTGATTTAAGTACTTACTAATCCATCTCTTCCAAAATTTAATGACGTTAACTTAATTTTTTTAAGTAATTACTGAAACCACACATATTTTTTCCGAAATTTTGTAAACACTTTACTGTCAGTGTTAGCGTTATATTGCATGTATCAAAAGTTTAAGGTCACATTTTAAAATTATTTTCAAACTTACAAGGAGTTTTTTTTTATAAAGATTACATGCCATAGTTGTACTCTTTTTAGATGGGCCAGCTTACATATTTTTACAATTTACGTGCAAAACTAAAGGATGCTTTAATTTACTTATACAGGGAGATTAAATTTGCAAATTGTCCGTTTTCCCATATTACTTCCCGAGCGTAAGCAAAGGAAGTATTGTAATCGAGTCCGTCGGCCGACTCTCTACTTTTACGTTTTCTCGATATTTCATGACCCCTAGAAGACGAAGAAATAGGTCTCCCATTTCCGTCTGTCTGTCCGTCTGTCCGTCTGTCTGCCGTCCCGGATTTTTATTAGACAGATAATCTCCTTAAGTAGGTACTGGACCGATTGTTGTGAAATTTTGTAGTTATATTAGGAATATCATGTAGATGGTAAAACGCTAACCAAAATTTGTCTAATCATCCCCACCACTAATGTGATGACATCACTTCAAAATTGTACATAGTAAATGGGTTTTAAATTGTATAAAATAATATAGTCCTAAACATGTAGTTTACGACTCCGAATTGAGTTTTTACCCGACACGTCCAGATTTTTGGAAAAAAAATCAAAATTATAAAACAACATTTTGCAATTTAATTTTGAATATGCTAATCCGAATGTTTTGAAATGTTGCAGTTGTTTTAAGGCTATAAAGAGCATCATAAATCTTTAGTCAAAATATATTTGGTTATCCCCTCCAAAAACTTGATGACGTCAGCTCAAAAGTTTGCCAAATAAATCCTATGTAAAATGCACAAAATATGATGAGTCTGTGCTTGTGATATATCACTCCATTCATATTTTTTGGATTTGCATATACAGGGTGACTCAAAAAAAATAATGAAATCTACTGCGAAAAAAAAAACATAATAGACATGCAGTCGTCACGTTTCCGACAGCGAGAGAAGTACTGTCTAAACTCTTTAGATCAATTTTTTAACGGATTTTCATATACGTTGAAATTATGAGTACAACCATATGCAATACTTACCTACATATTTATTTCTTTTTCAGTTGATAAAAAATATATTTATAAACATAAAAAAAAGGTCAGTGAACTGAAGAACTACCACTGTTTTATGACAGTTCTCATTTATGCTAAAATAACTACTTTTGAAACAGATCTTATCGATTATAAAATAAAATGTATGTGTTTCTTTTCACTCAACTTTAATTTTTTATGTTAATAAATTTATTTTTTTTATTAACTCAAATGAAATAAATATCTAAGTGTATCTTCATTGTAATTGTAATTTAACCATCTCTCAAAATCCGTTAAAAAATATACATATATTGAAATTTAAAAAAATTTAGGTTTGCGTTGTGATGCCGACGCCATATATATTTGCAATGTACTAAATAACTAAATTGAGCTTCCCCTTCAAGCTAAAAACAATGGCATTTATGGAATTACAATATCTCTATCCGTTCTTAAGATATTACACCGCGGAATTTTAGCTGAGACACCCTGTATATAAAAACTTTTTTAATACCAAATTCGTTAAAGTTTATCAAGTTTTTTTTTGTTTAATTTGTGTTAGGATCAACCACAACAAACCTGATACAATAGAAAGGTTATTTAGAGACAAATTGGATAATATTATAAAAACACAGATGTCCCATTTCAAAAACCTTCGAAAACTGACAATTTGGAAATTTAATCACCCGGTTTATATAATTAATAAGCTTCAACGATGATGAATTTTTAGACATGTAATAAATAAGACAAGGTAAATAAAAAGTTGTGTGGAAAATTCCAAAGTTCCATCTTTAAAAATGGCGGAACTGTAAATTTTTAAATATAGCCCTTTCTTTCCATTAAAATTCACATATCTTCATGGTCAAACAACCCTAGCATCTGACTTTTTTTATTTTTTCCTAAAAAGGGTAAAAAAACTGGTCTAAGGTTATTTACACAGAACTTCCCTCACCCCTTGAAGTACAGTCTAACAAATTTAGCTTCTTCGAAAAATTATTAAATGTGATTTTGCGAAATTGTATTTATTTTATGACAACCACTATAAGTTAAAAAAATATATAGATCATACCAATCATAGTGTTAGAAAAAAAGAGTCCACCCCCGGTCCTTATTAGTTACAATTGCGCAGCTTTTGTACTATTATAAATTGTCATTATATAATTTGGATTTTTTTGGTAAAATCTGGACGTCTAGATAAAAACTCAAGGTGGATTTGTAAACCAGAAGTACAGGACTATGTTACTTTATAAAATTTAAATAGCATTTACTATGAAAAATTTTGAGGTGGCATCATGAAATTGTTGGTAGGAAGGACTAGACAAATTTTGTTTAGCGTTTTACTATCTATCTACATGGTATTCTTAACCTCGACGACAGACGACAGGTAGAGGACACACAAACGGAAACATGAAACTTATTTTTTCGTACTCTTGTGGGTCACAAAACGTCAAGTAAACATGAAAATAGTTATTCACCAGATGGACTGTAATAAGCTCGGGACGTAAAAAACAACTTTGATGCGTAATTTTTGAAATAAAAGAAATTCTAAATTCTAGCCCTAAATGTTCAGTTAAAACTGCAACTGTTTATTCTTGGAGAGATTATTGCAACAGAAACAGAAATTAAATACATGTAGAATCAAATTTGATTACTTATTTTGTGCGTAACGTGGAGGATTTTTTATTGATCGTCATAATAAGAAAAAAACTGCTTGTGCAGTAGAATTATTATTTGATATTCTAAAATTGTAAAAATTAAATATATGAAACGTTTTACTTTATCGATTTCCACAGTTACCTACAGCGACAAGGTGGATTTGCAGCACTTCAATTGTCAAAATTTGGAAGCTTTAGCGACTATATTTAAGTGTCAAAACAGAATGACACAAAACAAACGTAATGAATACGATGTGGATTTGAACATTCACTTGACGTAAGTATAACTGCTATTATTTTAACTTAAATTTTTACCACTACCTTTTTGTTTTATTGTGGCTAATCCCACGTCTGTATACTTATAATCAGAATTGGGCAAAGCCGAAGTGATAGGGAATCAATCAGACGAATATTAAAAACGAGGGCGCGACGTCAGGCGATAAATTTGGCTGGCGACCGTGCAGTCTCAACCTCAGTGGCGTTTGATGCAATTCAGGGTTTATCTGATCAACATCATCACGAAAATCGTGATGTTGAACAGTCAATTTTAAT